TTCAGTGTTTGAACATTTCTGCATCAACACTGAGATAAAGTCACTGTTTGGTTCCATGGCAAACGCCCAAGGTAAAACAAGATGAATTTCATGTGCCGTGTGTATTTATCTTCAGCGAGGAGGTCTGAAACACTGGGCTGTGGGTGCAGCCGTGCAGGACAAGCTTTGAGATGAAAAGTTGTTGTGTAACTAGCCACAGGTACGGATACAGGCCACGGAAAAAAGCGAGAAAGCATGAGTCACCACAACTTGCAGTAATGGGCTCTGACACTTATGAATAAAGCAAATATATGGGGAACTATACAAAAGCAAATCCTTTTAATCCTCTCAAAGTTTCAACAGACAAACAAAAACCAGTGTTTGGGGAGAAATGGTGCTTAGACTCTAACACATTCAGTATCACCCTGCACAGAGCTGCGCCTGCTAATGGGTGTGGGGCATTTGTAGCTCTTTTCAGTGAGGAAATGTCAGGTCCTCTCTCTATACTTCTGTCTTTTAAACTCATTGTAGTCTATGTTGACACAAAACGACTTTTACCCCTGTTTGTTTGGCTGCATTCTTTGCAAATGTATCATTTTCATTCTGCTGTTAAACTTTACTTGTCTTCATTTGAGAAAAATGACAAATCTTCTGGAACCCCCCTGAGGAAAATCAAAGTCTCATAACTTTATCACTCTGACTGGGTTTGTGTAGACAGAGAAGGAGGGAGGAGCTACCGTGTTATTGTATTTTAATCAATAGGTAATTACTCAGTCCGACGGGATCCACACTGTGAGCTTTATGGCGGGTTGGGAGGAAGCTGCCATGGAGACTCCAGGGCTGTGCACAGAATGCTCTTCATGGGTAAAATACCAGTCCCACTTTATCCCCCTGTGTGCAAACCATCAAACGTAATGGATTGTAGGACCACTTTAAAAAAAAAAAAGTTTGCTTTTGCATCTTGTCAAATAAAGCTTCAGACTTTTTGCATCAACTGCACTGTTGCACAGATATGAGTAACTGCAGCTTTAATGAGGGAAATTATCAAAAACCCTTTAAGAAAATACAGATGTGCATTAAGTGGACGTTTTGACAGCGATAATTAAAGAAATAACCGGGATGGCAGAGAAATCTGCATTGTAGGGAATAAAAACATTGTTTATCTGACAGAAATAATGCGCTGTAACTATGGGGAAGATTGAAAAAAAACACACCCATTTCTACAAGTTGGATAATTTAATGCCCCTACCACAGCATGTATGAAACCAGCTGTGCCCTGTTTCCATCTTTCATATATTATATCGTGCCATCTAATTCTAGGCATGGGCGGGCAGTAAAGTAGAGTTTTCCTCATCTGGAGAGGAATGAGGATGAACATCAAACGGTCAAATTGTTGCCCCATAAGTGACCCTGTTTCAAGTTTCAGCCTCTCCCCTCTATTTCCTCCCTCCCCCCTTGTCTCCTTCTCAATCTAAACTAACCAACTAACTCAACAAACTTCCTTTAATTCGTAACTACACACAAACACGGAGAGACGGGCATCAAAGCCACTGTGAATGCAAACGTTCTCTGTGCAGCCCCGGCATGTAGCCGTGCTCCCTCCATCTCTTCATCTGCACGGCTCTCATCTGTTTGTTTATGTTGGATAAATGGTCATAATTGCTGCTTTGACCCATGAACATGTGAGTTGATATCTCCGCTGCCAAGGCTTCTTTGTTTATATTTGAACATCGGAGCAAACAGGGGCTCCACTTTGAAAGGCTGAAGTACACACAATGTTAAAGGGATGTTTGTGGTGGGGGGGTGTTGTGACCCACCCCTGCAGCGAGGGCAGAGATACGAGACATTTGAAACGTCCCCTCCCCTGAAAACTCAAACGGTCACTTTTAAATACGTCCAGCAAATTTTGTAGAAATGCACGCACACCTCTGTTAATCAAGACTAACGTTCCAGGAAGTCATTTTGATAAATCGTATGACTAAAGGCAACAGGATATTGTACCTCTTTTGTCTTTTTTGACTACCACCTGTTGCCGCAATAAAAAATAACTTAAAGAAGTAGCTTGGTTATCGCAGTCATGATCACATCTCTGTTAAAGGCAGCAGAAATCGTTTCAATAAATGAACACAGTGAAGCAGCAACAGTTTCAGACTCTCTGAGGTTATTTCTGTTGAAGATCAGCATGACACACCTCAAAATGTCACTCGCTGAATCGTGCTGCTTGCATATCTCTGTTGCTAATCTTGGAATCTAAAGCGGCTTCCACAAAGTAAGTTTTAATCAGGAAGTCGCTGCTAGTTAAGAGCAGAAGTTACTGAATAAGCGAAATAAGGACTG